CTATCTCTTCAGCATCTCTCCAATGAGTCTGATTCCTCCCCATTCTCCTTTCTGTCGCGGCAGTGTTCTGGGGCATAGAGACGTGGGGCCTCATCTGCTTACATACTACTGGTTTGGAGCAATTCTTGTTTTCTGCTCATTGGTAGCCCCTCAAGCCAACCTTATGCAAAACCAGGGAAGTGGCCTCTGCATGGGCAAGTGTCTAAATTCAGCATTTCAACCTTCATAAAACGATGTCACTCTAACCCCACTCCACCCTTCTTGGCTGGCTTAAATTTAAGAATATTTGCACTTAAATCCAACTAAGAATGTTTGCACCCCAGAAACTTCAGGAGATTATAAGTTTGGACTCACTGATGATCAATAAATTTCAAAACTTCCAATAAAAGAAATAATACAGAGAATTGTACACAGTGTAGACTATTCTTTACTATTTCCTTGTCTCAAGCCAAGCCATCAGCTCTGCATACTCGGTTGGAACCTCCTTGATTTCTTCTGGAATTCTTTTACATAAGTACTTTAGCATTATTCCTCTGGGTATCTTTGTAGGAAATTGTTAGAAGCAATATTAGGTCTCTCATTTTTGTATTTATCATTAGAGTATTGTTGAGGACACTGCTCACATTGTAAATTGCTTGTTGATGAAAATCCACCAAAGAATTTTCTCACAGGTCTGCGTACTAGGAAGGTTTTACTGCTTATTTATTTTGGAGGCAGAGTCTTGCTCTATCCCCTAGGCTGGAGTATTGTGGCGTGATCTTGGTTCACTGCAACCTCCACCTCCTGGGTTCATGCGATTCTCCTGCCTCAGCCTCCTGAGTAGCTGAGATTACAGGCAACTGCCACCACGCCTGGCTAATTTTTTTATTTTTAGTAGAGATGGAGTTTTGCCATGTTGGCCAGGCTGGTCTAGAACTCCTGACCTCAGGTGATCCTCCTGCCTCAGCCTTCCAAAGTATTGGGATTACAGGTGTGAGCCACTGCATCCGGCCTCAACTTTTTTTCTTCTATTCCCTTTAGGTCATAAATTTTTGCTACTCATAAGCAAGTCTGCTGTAGACATACTGTGTCAAGGACACCATGAACTATATACAATTTGTGCTTTCCTCATTGCAGTGATTGCTAGAAAGTTCAAAGTCAACTTACTCATGTCAAGGAACTGTTTAGGACTTTTCTAAATGCAGTTGGTGAACTAACTTTGTCCATAATTTCATCTCTCTCTCCTTTTTTGCCCTCATTTTATCTTCACAGTGATTTTGCCTTTATTTAGTTCTCATCTTTTATGTATTTGGGGAATCCACCTTAAGTTCTCTTGAAAACAAGATGGGATTGAGTAGCAGTGAACAGGAATAATAAAAACAGCTGTGGGGAGTGAGGTATAAGCGCCTGGAGCTGGGGGTTGGGGAGGGAGAGTTTTGGCTGATTCAGCGCCTCGGGAGTCACAGGCATGGATGAGGGGCATCACACGGAGGACATGCCTTGCATGAGGGTGTGTGGTGAGAAAGCAGCCAAGGACGGGTTCTGAGGACATCTTTGTAACAGATGGAGGAGGAGATGACAGTAAAGGCCTGCAGCAAGGCTGGAGGAAAGCCGGAGAGAGGATGGGCTGGGAAGCAGTAGAATGTAGGTTCTTCCCTTTTAAAGTATTTTAAACAAGCCCATCATGTTTCTATTCTGCCCTTTTCCTCATGAAATCAACCAGAGGAATTGCACAGTTGAAAGACTTAATTGAGCATAGCTTATTCGGCTTGGCAGTCTTCTATGATTTTTTTTTTCTCTACTGAACTAAAAAAAAAGGCTACCCACAGAGAGACAAGCTTTTCTGTTTCCACCTAAAGTTCACTTCCCACATTCCTAGCAGCCTTGGCAGACCCCTGTCAGTCTGGTCTATGGCGAGGGTAAGCGAGCCTTCCAGCACTCTCAGTCTGAGAGCACGCCCTAGTCTACCCGCGGACCCCTGTGGAGCCTAGCCGGGGGCCCAGCCTCTCCAAGCTCCTGTGGCAGAAGGTGACGTCAACACCCACTGCGCGCCTACGGAGCGGCAGCGAGGCGGAAGTGGCTTTCTGTAGGGAGGCACCTGGACTCATAATTTAGTCTACTTTCACTGCCTCCCCCACTTGGCAATCAAAACCGGAGATGCTTTTGAGCTTTCTTTTGTGCTGCCCGAAGAGGAGATGGGCTTATTGTGCCAAATGGGCAATTATTTCATATTGCTCTACAGAGCACAGGCTGCAGCTGTCTTGGAACAGGAGCTCTGCAAGGTGGATTCAAAGTGTCTGGTCTCATCAAGCATCCAGGAAGAGGCTTCAAACACCCTGCGGGAATACTTAGTGAGCAACTTTTTAGACAAATCAGCCTCAGTGAATCACAACTAGGCAGTCTCCCTGTCTAGTATCTTGAGGTATGTGTATACCTGCCAGAGATTGTCCAGGGTGGGGACAGTGTATCAGAGGAACATGAACAATCAGCTGAGGAAATGAAAGAAGAATTGAATTGTATGAAGCATATTCAAAGGCATGACCCATTTTAATCTTCACAGCCACATTATCAGCCAGGCATTATTCATCTCAATTTACAGATGAGGAAACCAAGGCTCGGGATATTAAAGTGACTTGTCACGGATCATGCAGCTGGTTAGTGACAAAGAGCCCAAACTCAGGTCTAACTATTTAAGTTCTGGGCTGTCTTATAGATTTTTTTTTTTTTTTTCCCCAGAAAGAGATCCAGAATCCTTAAATAAAGACGTTGGTTGCTTAAGTACAATTCTTCATACCATGAGCCTTAGTCTCTCCCTTCAAGAACAATCTATATGGTTTATCAGCTCAGGGCAGCCTTCCTTCTCTGCTAGCATGTTACTTTCATCTTCTTGTTCTGACTTTTCTCTAACTGGCTTTCATTGTTTTTTTCGTGAAACTAAAACATCCTGCAGTCCCTTTGAACCTGTTCGATGACAGAGAGCTCTGTGACTTGGCTGGGAACAGTCGAACAGAGCAGAGAAACAATGCCACCATCAAATATCACCCAAGGCCCCATTAATAAGGGTTGTTCTCCAGACCAGACAGGACCAAAAGGAAAGGTTGCATTTGTGTTATTTCTGCTCCCCTAACTTCACTACAAGTTGGATGCTGTGGAAATAATCGAGAACGACCTGAAAACCCAGTGCCCTGGCTTTGCGTGCCTTTAAGCAGTGACACAATCTCTGGAGTTTTTTCTTCCCTATTGATAAGAGAATGACTCAGAAAGAGGTTCAAGACCCTCTTTGGGCACTAACAGTTATGTGTATAGAAGAAACCAGCATTTTTACCACTGCTTTTGACTTACTAGTGGGGTTGACCCCCAATTTCTGAATATGGCAAATGGAAATATGGGGAAAATCATATGAAATTATAGTATATTCTTTTAGAGATGATCTTTCAGCCTGAATCAGGAGAATAATGTCATTTCCTTTTCTATTTCTTACTGAGGAAGAAAAATATGTTCACTCTTGTATCTAAAACAGAGCTTGGACATAGTTTGTGTTCAACAAATATTACTTGAATTAATGAATTAATAAAATAAATATCCAAGAAAGTCAATTTCTTTAAAAATTCAAAACTCTAATTAATATTTGAAAATATTTGTTTTTGTCCATGTGTTAAGTACATGTTTGTGATACTCCATGGTCCCCATACCACCCTCCAACTAAGTTTCCATAGGCCTGAGGTCTTTTTGGCATATTCAGTTCTTGCTAGAATTTAAGGTTGTGTTACTTAGCAGAAACATAGTAACTTGAAGCATGAGGAGAAACCTCATCAGAGACACAAACAGACAATGCACAGGAAAAGAAGTGAGAATTACACTTAGCCCTGGAAAAAGATGCTCAACATCATTCACTTATAAGCGTAAATTAAAACTACACTAAGATACCATTTCCTGCCAGTAAGATTGGCAAAAATCCAAGATCTGGACCACATACTTTATCGGTGAGGCTAGGGTGAAACACTCTTCTACACTGCTGGTAGGAATGAGAAATGGCATCATGATGATGGAGGGGAATTGGGGGAAATTTAGCACAATTATATGTGCATCTACCATTTGACTCAGCAATCATACTGAAATTTATCTTTTAGAAATCTAGATTCTAGGCCGGGCGCAGTGGCTCACACCTATAATCCTAGCACTCTGGGAGGCCGAGGTGGGCAGATCACAAGGTCAGGAGATCGAGATCATCCTGGCTAACATTGTGAAACCCCATCTCTACTACCAAAAAAACAAAACCTAGCTGGGTATGGTGGTGTGTATCTGTAGTCGCCCCTACTCCAGAGGCTAAGGCAGGAGAATCACTTGAACCTGGGAGGCAGAGGTTGCAGTGAGCTGAGATCATGCCACCAACCTGGCGGCAGAGCGAGACTCCATCTCAAAAAAAAAAAAAAAAGAAAAGAAAAGAAATCTAGATTCTAGAACACTATCCCAAAGCCACAGTAGCAAAAATATGACAAGATGTACATACAAGGTACTGTTATAGCATTATTTGTAATAACAAAAGACTAGCAACAACCAGAATCGATAGCACAACAGTTAAATAAACAATGCTTCAGCCACATAATGATAACTGCAGTGTAAAATGGGGATTATCTCTATACAGTAAGTGATCTCTAGGATATACTGTTAAATGAAAAAAGCAAAGTGAAGAAAAATATGTGTAGTAAGTTACCATTTACATATGAAAGGAAAGAGTAGAATCTATCTACCTATCTCTGTAGGTATGCATTTGCTTACATTATAAAAACCAGTAAGGAATAAAAAAAATTTTAAATAGCTGTATAAAATAGTACAGGGAGGAATATCTTTAAATATTCCAGATTTGTATTTAGAAACATATTTTTTTTTAAATCATAAAACAAAATTAAATAAAAACACAATCCCCGAAGCAAAAATAAAATAAGTGATTATATTTGTGTAGCCAGTAAACACCATTATGAAACAAAGAGAAACGATTTCAAATGACTTTATTTTTTTCATGTCACATGGATAATGTGCCCACGTTGTAACAAAGTTTGAGGGTGGCACATCTCGCACATGCACATGCAAACTCAGTCATCACACTTATGAGCTACAAAAGCAACCTCAAATGACTTTTTTTTTTTTTTGAGACCATGTCTCTGATCTTGGCCCACTGCAGCCTCCACCTTCTGAGCTCAAGCAATCCTCCCACCTAGTCCTTCCAAGTAGCTTTAGACAGGTGTGTGCCACCACGCTCAGCTAATTTTTAACTTTTTGTAGACACAAGGTCTCACTGTATATCCCAGGCTAATCTCAAACTCCTGGTCTCAAATGATCTTCCTACCTTGGCCTCCCAAAGTGCTGGGATTACAGGAATGAGCCACCACACCCAGTCTTCAAATGACTTTAAAACAGCAATTTGGTCATATATTCCCACTGAGATCAATCCTAAGGACAAAAATAACAACAAATACAAAAACAAAACCTTGAACTGTTCTCAGTAGCCATATTGTTGGTGACAGAGCTGGTTTTGTTATTCTGAGACTGCTGTGTTGCAGGATAAAGAAAAGTGATTATTTGGTTTCATTCAGAACTATATATTTTCGGTGTGGTGGAAAGGAGACATGGATGCAAGACTGGTGAGTTTAAGAGTCTGTAGACCTGTATTTCATTTGGAATATCTGTATGAAATCATGATGTGTTTGATCTTAAAAACATATTTTCTAGTTCTGCCCTGTATCAAATAACAAGATAGTCCCAGCATTTTGATTGAAATCCTTCCTTCCTTCCTTCCTTTTCTTTCCTTCTTTCCTTCCTTCCTCCCTCCCCGCCTCCCATTGTATATAATGGTCAGTACACATTATATATATGTAAGAAAATTTTACATGTTCTCCATAAATTAGTCCAAATAAAAAAAAAGCAGTGAATAAAAAGAAAGAAAAATTCCTTTTCTCTGTGGAGTTTATATTCTAGTGGTGGGAAAAGGTGATCCTAAATAAAATCAATGAGTAAAACAAAGTATGTCTAACTGCAATGGTGGATAATAAATCAGGCCGGGGGCTACAGAATGTGGATAACTGCTATTTTAAAGAAGGGGTCAAGACCTCATTGAGAAGGTGGCATTTGGGTCAACATCTGAGGAAGGTGAGGAGGGAGGTATGCAGATATCTACAGGAAGAGCATTCTGGGCAGATGAACCAGCCAGGGCAAAGCCCTCGAGGCAGAAGTGTGCTTGGAGTATTTAAGGATGAGCAAGGAGGATAGCGTGGCTGCAGCAGAGGGAGCTCAGTGTGGAAAGCAACGCCAGGGAGATAGTGCAGGGTCTTAGCGGCTACAGAAAAGAAAGGCCTTTGACTTTGAACTTTGACATGACTTGAGATGAAGAACAAGTACAGGTTGTTTTTTTTTTCTGATGAATTTTTTTTTAAAATTTTACTTTAAGTTCTCAGGTACATGTGCAGATCTTGCAGGATTGTTACATAGGTATACACATGCCATGGTGGTTTGCTGCCTCCATTCCCCCGTCACCTACATTAGGCATTTTTCCTAATGTTATCCTTCCCCAATCTCCCCAACCCCTGCTATCCCTCTCCTAGCCCCCTACCCACCAACAGGCCTCAGTGTTGGGGTCTGTGATGTTCCCCTCCCTGTGTCCATGCACTCTCATTGTTCAACACCCACTTACGAATGAGAACATGCAGTGTTTGGTTTTCTGATCTTGTGTCAGTTTGCTGAGAATGATGGTTTTCAGATTCATCCATGTCCCTGCAAAGGACATGAACTCATTCTTTTTTATGGTTGCATAGTATTCCATGGTGTATATGTGCCACATTTTCTTTATCCAGGTTTATTTATTTTTAAGCAGCTTTATTGAAGTATGCATTAATTTCCTGGAGCTGCCAAATAAATTATCACAAATGTGTGGCTTAAAACAGTAGAAATTTATTCTTTCACAGTTCTGGCAGCAAGGAGTGTGAAATTGGGATATCTGGAATCTGAGCTTTGGGGAAGTATAAAACTTTGAGGAAGAAAGATAATGAAAGAGCAGCTAAGGCTGAGGAGCAACCAATAAGACAAGAGAGAACCAAGAGAATGTGTGGTCCTAGAAGCCAAGTGAAGAAACTGTATCAACTGTGTCTACAAATATTGCCTATAGGGTCAATTAAGTTGAGGACTGAGAGTTGGACCATTTGATTTAGCAATGTGGAAGTCACCGTGGCCTTGATAAGCATAATTACAGCTGAGTGACATGGACAAATGCCTGATTTGAGTTCAAGAGACAATGGGAGGAGAGAAATTGAGGACAGGAAGAAAAGATAATTATTTTGAGAAGCTTTGCTCTAAAAGGGAGCCAATAATGAAGCAGTAGACAGAGAGGGGCTCAAGGATTGTTTTTATTTTTAATGGGAGAATTAATTGTACAGTGATGGGAATGATCCAATTGGGAAGGAACCATTAATGATGCCAGAGAGGGGAGAATTGCTGGTTCACCACTCTGAGTCTGGGATAAGATTTAGAGAAGAGGAGAGTTATTGGCTTTAAGAGGAGAACCAACAAGTTATTCATTCCAACAGGCAGGGTTGAGGTTGGAGTGGAGGGCACAGCGTATGGAACAGATGTCAGTGGCTGAGCTTATAGAAGTTCTCTTCTGAATAATTCTTCCTGAGTGACGTGTGAAGCTAAAAGAGGATAGGAAGGAGATGTTGGCATTTTAAGGAAAGAAGAGAAGGTATGAAAGAGTCATCTAAAAGACGAGTTAGTGAGTGAGTAGACTAGGAAAAGAAAAGCACGACTTGAGAGGCAGTGGATGAGGCAAATGCAGCAGTGTTAAGGGCCTCCTTGAGAGTGGTGGTCATGAATTCACAGTGAAACCAGATAGCATGACAGTGTGCTTTTCTTCAGCTTTATTCAGATGTGTAGGTGTTGGTGTGAAGTAGGCAGAGTTGGGTTTAGCAAGGCTTTTGACTGTGCCACACAATTGTTTAGTAAGGGAAGTGGGAATGTATACCAGGGAGTGATTGTAACACTTGACTATGGACTTTGAACATGGTAAGGGGTCAAAGTGTGAACAAAAGCATTGTATGACACAGGGAAAAATGTGATTAAATTAATGAGTTGTAGGTCCCGTTGAAATTACAAGTTTGAAAGTAGGAGAATTGTTTAACTTGGGGGGCCAGAATGCATGAGCTAAAAAATGGAGGTGGTGAGCAGAGAGTATAATGTTGAAATGGAAGGTACGGAGTTGTGTTATTGGTATATGTCTAAGAAAGTGGACAACAGAAGCAGGGTGAAGGGCAAAGTCCTGAGGAGAGGAAGTCAAAGAACCGTGACATCTGGATTTGAGAAGATCATCTCATGGAGACTGAACTCTCCAAGAATTAAGGCAGAAGTAGTACTGGAGAGTGTGACAGAGCCCAGAGTTAAAATAATCAAAGAATGAGTTGGGAGTGACCTGGTGGAGTAGATGACAGCAACAATGAGGAAGAGTGGTGACATAACTTGTCAATCTGATCTTCCCCTGAAGTAAGTCATAAGACCTCTCATGTGAGAGGTGCCCTTCCTGTACCTGGAGGAAAGGGAAAGGAACATCTTTATCTCTGAAGATCAAGAGATGCCAAAAAGAATATGAACAGGCAGGCCTCACTAAATTTCTCCCAGTTCATTACCATTAGGTCATACCGATTCACCCTTTCATATTTCTCAATGACTATTCTTTATCAAATCTATAAACTCAGGTTTAATTATTTATTCGAGCCTTTATTGCCTTATCAAGGTTCTCATGTCATATAGAACTTATAAATCTATATGCTTTCCTCTTGTTAATCTGTTTCTGTTACAGGGCCTCATCCGTGAACCTAAGATGTATAAAAGGAGAGATATTCCCCCCACCCCACATAACCATTTCCATTTTTTCAAAGAGGGAATAAACAATATATGACTGTATGCCTGATTGTTACCGTTCTATAGGTGTATAATACTTTGGAAAAATACCCAAGAAACTGGCCACATTGGTTTCCTGGGGAAAGGAATTAAGTACATGGGGACAATGGTGTCATGCCTGGGGGTTACTGTTTATTCTTTGTACCTTTTGAATTTGAGCTACATACAGTGGCTGTTACAAATAGGAATCGTGATATTAACATAAAAGAATGTCTTTTTGTCTTCAAGTTGGTGAGACAAAACATATATACACTTCTTATTATAAAATGGAAAGCGTTTAGTGTCCTAAGAGAGGCAGAGATTGTCTTCCAGGGTTGGCTAGAAAGTCAGGGCTGGTGGAAATTTAGGTGCAAGTTTAAGTTTGCATTTTGTTTAAATATACTTCAATGGAACTGGAATAAATGCCCCAATCTCCAAGTTCAGGTCATGCTCAGCAGTGCTTTAGCCTCCAACAAGTTTTTTGGTTAAAGCAGGTGCCAGAAAATTTGTAAAGTTCCATAAAAGCGCTGCTAGCATCTGGTAAAACTCAAGGGTTTAATATTACTAGTTAAAGTCTTTTTAAACACTCACCCCCCTCCTTTGTGACCTGTTCTGATGTTAAAGTAGCTGTGTTTAACACCATTGTATGCCAGCGGGAGACAGAAAATGCATGTTATTTTTAGCAAAGTCTAGTGCAAATGGTGTATGCTCTTTGGACTCTGCTGGCAGATTTGATTCTTAGCTCCTGGGAAGCCAAATTTATTTAAATTTTCATCCTTGTCTGTCGTCTCAAAGAGTGAAATGAACTTTTCCAATTCCTCAAACTGTGATGTGGTGGGTGAATAAAACCCCAAGGTGGCATCCAACTAGGACTGGATTGAAAGTTTCTTTTTTCTTTTTAAAGCTAAGTAAGGACACAAAGTTTCAGCTCAGCAGCTGATAAAGACATCTGATTTACTGAGAAAGCACACGGAACTCTTCCACTGTTATTTTCTAAAACAGGAAAAGTCTCAGGCAACTCATTAACTCATTAACTATAGCACTTCCCAAATCAACTAGTAGAAAGTATCTTAAAGGTTAAGATACCCAAACTTGAGAGAAAGAAAACACTGTATTTCACTATTTTACTGCCCAAGTCACCAAAAAGCCTCTCTTAAAATTTCTCTTTATTATTAATTAAAGAGGGTCTTACTATGTTGCCCA